TGTGGTAGAAGTATATCCCCAGTAATTTACATAAATCTATTCAAGTTACAAACATGTAGATAATATATTTATTCTCCTCATTCATTGCTTATCTCTTAGACACCTAGTGAGTACATAAGAAATCTATACTATATATAGTGCCTTTCACAGACCAGAACAACTTTACAATTGATCTGGCTCATTCTGTCACTCTCTTATCTGATCATGTCTGTGTGTTTGGAAATTTTCAGATTATCTCCTTGTATAGCTCCAAGAGTTTTATTTTATTATTTATTTGTATTACCTAAGTAGATCCTGTTTGATGCGCTCCTCCATTTATTCATCAGTAATTTTGTGCAACATATGACATTTAAAATCGCCGTCACTGAGGGTACTGAGAAAATTTATTCAACTTCTCTTCCATGCAAATGTAAAATGTATAATTCCACTCTGTACCCAGCCATGCATCAGCTGCTCAGACAGGGGATGGGGGAGTACAATACTGATATAAACTCGTGTCGGTGTAGAAATATTGGGACATGCTGCAGAAGCCACAGCACAGAACACCAACTACACACTGGCTTCAGAAAAGAGCCATGAACACTAACGAAAAAGTCTGCACGAGAATGTACGGCTAAGATTAGATATGATATCACGCACGAGATCTCATCACAACTGTTATCAATAGTACACACTTTTTTACCAAAGCTCTCATGTTTGTATAGACACCCCTGGTTTAAATCAATGTCGCCATCCAGACCATGTCATTATTAAATGTTTCTTTAAAAACCGTAATTGCTTCAAAACCTCATTTGAACAAAAGTGACAAAAGAACCCAGGGGGTGCACCAGACAAGAAAAATAAATCAAACAAGTTCAAGCGTACAGGAACTAAAACTATTATAAACAATGGCACTATCTACCAGTTTATACTCCATCAATTCCCTCAAGCTTGATCCTCTTTTGGAATACAGAAAGAGCCCTGTGAGTCACTATATGAGACTTTGGGTTGAAAGCTTAGTTGGCTGGGGAAGTAGTTCCTCTATGTTGCCCTTTTCTGTCTGATGAAGCTGATGCGACAGGAGACAAATACTTTTTCGTAGATCTAGGGGCCTAAGGCCAGAACATTTTTTACAACAATAGCACCACCAACCGTTTAGTGGGGAAGATGGTCAGTAGTAAGCATCAATCAGATCACAGAACGAAGGAAAAGAGGAGCTACCTAATTAAAAGAAGTGGCAAATTAATTCTCTACTAAAAATAACATAAAATTTCTAGTTCTTTACCATAATAAAGTAAGCAAGCATAAAACCTAGCTTCAGCACAATCGAGGAGGAAAGAATGGAAGGTAACTTGTATACAATCACTGACGTAAGCATAATAACAGAAGCAAGTATAATAATCCTGTATATTCTAGTGCAGGAAATAATACTAGTTGTACGGTCTAATATCTGAAACATGTTAGGCAGGCATGAGGGTCTGGGACAGATAACACATGTGGTTCTACGAGTATTAATGCACATAGACAGGAGAGGTTTAGGGTTCGGCGAAGTTGTGTAGTCCTCACATGTTTGATTGTTACGGTTAAAAGCGTTGATGTACCCCCCTCTACCCTCAACCCAAACACTGCATCACCATCTCCCAGTTTTTGCTTGGTGCCCAGTGGTCTGCATCTTGCTAACGGACAACAAGCTAAAAGTGCTTGTTTACAGCAGCTTACCTATCTGCAGAGACAGCAGCCAAATTGAAGACAAGGCAGTCCCTACTAAACCCGATGAAGATGCCTTCCCATTGAGTTTTTGCATGTGACCTCGGGGACAATAGATAAGATGTGGCAAATGGTGTATCGACAGCTGCAGCCTCACACTGTTCTCTGAGAGCCTGTCGAAACCGAGTGTCGATGGTATTGGTCAGACCCAGGGCTTATCTCGCCCTTATCGCAGATGTTTAATGGTATTTCTCCATGTGAGGCT